TAAGCATGAAATTACTAGTCACCTTGTTGTAAGTCACACATTTTGCAATCTTGACCATGTTCTTGTAGAAGGCACTGCAGAATAAATTCAAGCACTGTAAGCATATTTGCAAATTAGGGAAAATGATTTTGCTAGATGCCAAGGAACATATTGATAAGAAATCCTACAAAAGTTCCATATAATATTAGATAAAAGGTATACACCTTATGTCTTGAGTTATCAAAATTTGTTAATGCACTTATCTAAATAACTCTTTTCAGATGCTTAAAATATAATATGAGGGAGTTCGAAGCAATCAAGATCACACACGTAGATAAACTAGCCACAGCCTCCTTTAGTTCTCCTTTAGTCCAAACTTCTAAGTTCTAACCAGCAATTCCAACACAGTAACACTCAATTACTTGCTCTCGATATTTACATTTATCAAATAGCCAGTCCAAAAACTAGAGTCCTACCTAATTGTACAGATACTTAAGATTAACCTATAATCTTTCCTAATGGACACAGGCATATAAGATAATTAAGTTGTTATAACAGATCAAATAAAACTTATCGTTTTTCCCGAATGTACATAAAAAAATAAAACTTCACAAATAAAAAAGAAAAAGAAAATGTGGTATATTATCACCTACCCTCCAACATAATCAAAATCAGAAAATATAAACGTCCTTGAAACATCAAAACCACAAGCAATTATATCTTTAGCATTTTCACGGGCAAGCCTCTGGCTTTCCTCCACGGTTAAATTCTTCCACATACATTTCTCATCATCTGTTAGTTGTATCACAAGCGGGACCTTAAATGCATCCTGCAGATACCTAAAGCCAGTAAAAAAAAAAATCACTATTCTGAAAATAACAAAAAGAACCAAAAGAATAAAGATGGAATATTTGAAAATTACTTTGTGAACATGAAGGGCACAAGATGGCCCAAATGCAGTGCCTCCGATGAGGGGCCACGGCCCGTGTAGAGATAAAACTTCTCCCCTCTTTCGTAAGCATCGAGGACGTCACTCAAATCCCGATGGGCGAAGAAGACGCCGCGGCGGAGGAAGACGTGAGGAGGTCGGCGCGTGAGGCGGGCGACGCGATCAACGAGCGGCTGGTCGATCCTCTGGCAGCCGAACTTGTCGATAAGCTTGTCGTAGTCGATTTTGCCGCCCTTTTCGGCGGTTACTTCCCATGGAGTCACGATTTGATCCTCTTCCTCATGGGTTTTTCTCTCCATGGCTGGAACTGGTGAATGTAGATTGGAAGACAGGATAGAGAGGACTGTAGAGGCTGAGAGCTGCTGAGGAGCTGCGCAGGGTTTTAGGGCAGGGTTGGTTCAGTTTTATTTTATTTTATTTTTCTTTTCAAGAACCATTCACGTCATTTTAGTTGCCGTTTCGGTTCCTTTAGGGGGCGTTTACTTCGCGGGACGGGATAGGATAAAGTAAAATAGTCAGAAATATCTTACGTTTACTTACAAGGATTGGGATGGGAATAACATGACATGGTGCCCATGTGGCACGCGCTGATCAGCCGATTTGGGACAAAAAAATCCC